CTGTCGATCCGACTACTTATGTGCATGTCATATCTCCTATCAGGTTGTTCATCTATCCGTCTAATAGAATGAAAGTTACGCAAACAATGATTGTAAATAGTTAAAGTCAACATTAGTTTAAAATTTTGTAGACCTCCTATATAAAGTAAAATTGAGAACTGCGGAAGAACAAATGACCCGGTGAGTTGAGTATTTTATCGAAATGTTGAATAATCCGCGGATGACAGCCTTGTACAGATCAGCATATACTGAACTAAACGTGATATTACTCTATCTGGAATAAATTGTGCACTACAAACAAAAATCAATGTAATCAGTGCTAGTCTGAAACTAGCAATCAGAGTAAGCAGAGTCTTAAACGCCGCAATTCACTTGGATATGATAACATCTGTACTGAATGACTGCAGTGCGATATAGCACAGACAGCCACAATATGTCCTCCACTCATTCAAAAAATTTGGAATAAGTAATATTTACCCAGTTTGTGGATATCAGGGTATAATCTTGCAACCTACTTCAAGTAAAATACTAAGCCATATTATTCTATCATGCATTTCAGAAGCAATGATCAAAACGTTGTACAGAAAACAGTTTGGATTTCGAGAAAACCGTTCATGCGTCGACCTTATGAACACAGTCCACATCGTGTTCGAGCAATGTAAAGAGTTCTAGACATCGGTATACGCAGCTTTTATTGACTTCAAAAAAGCGTTTGATAGGGTCAACAGAGGATTTCTTTGAAATGTTTTAGAGAAACTACAAATTCCAACTAAAATAATATATCCCATAAAAGCTATGCACACAGGATTTAAATGCTGAGTATTGCACAACGGGTTGCTGTCAAACACACTTGAAGTAGCCACGGTGCATATTATCACCACTTCTATTTATCCTCGTGGTGGACGACGTGATGCGAGCGTCCTTAAAAGGCAACAAAGGTATCCATTCATGCACCTGCAAGATGTGGAATATACAGATGATGTTTATCTATTTAGCCATTACAACAAAACCTTACAAGAAAATATTGAAGCACGGGATAAATGCAGCAGTCGCCAGCATAGAGATTAATCGGAACAAGGCAAATGTAATGGCTGGATGATACAACTCAATCTCTTTGCCAATTGTTAAAATAAAAGAAGACAGTGTCCACTCAGTGGAATGTGTGGATAAATTCAATTTTCTAGGTAATATAGTTGCAACTAAGAGCGGTGCTGACGAGTAGATTGATTTTCGTTTAACCAAAGCCAAGACTGTATTTGTCACGACTGCATTAAAAACACCAATATATGGGCCATCACAAATCAATCATCTGCTAGTGTTAAAATACGTAGACGCAAATGGCGTTGGATATGCAATAAGCTGCGCAGACTCAATTAAAACATTGCACGCTAAGCTCTGAGGTAGAATCCTTAAGGCAGCCGTTGACCTGGAAGGTCAGCTAGAAGTTGGAGATGGACAATTGAGGAAAGGCTAAGAGATTTATTCCTAGAATAATGTCTGCTGAGAATCAAGTAACAGAATCCGATATAAAAGGATAGTGGAGGTCCTATGTTCTACTGGCAAAAGAGGATATGAGATGAAGTATAATATATATTTTGTAGACTTTTTTTAAATTTTCACTTAGCGAATTTATTAGAGTGCCTTGTAAAAGTGGAATAGAGTAATTTCATAATGCTATAGATGGTATGTTATCAAGAGTAACGCTTAATTATTGTTATATGAATATGACTCTGAATAAAGGCAGTGACGAACCCTTTTAAAGGTAATGATGAAAGAATTTTTTTTTTTTGAACACATGACGTATATTGTTAGATCAACAATTTTTGGTTTAATTCTAACTGTGATAGTAAATACATTTATGTATTCAAATACGTGTTATTTTCAATATCCGTTCTGGCGAATATTACTTTAGCCGTTAACAGGGTTAGACGATGACATTTTACTTATCTCATATATAAATCTTTAGTTACTAACTTACTAACTCAAATACTAAGACACAACAACAAACATAGTTATAGTGTATCTTTGTCAAATGCTGCTTGTATGGCTTCAGTTACTAAATGGATTTGATCAATAGTTTAATGCTTAGTCGGAAATACTTCCTGAATAATTTTGCTATTGTAAATTATAAACATATTGATCTGAATGATATTATTCATTATGGTGGTTTACCTGGCTGTTTTATAAGGATAACCTTCTCAATGTTTTTTGATACATACTATTACCTATTATTGCATATATATGTATTATATTACCTATCAGTACATCAAAAGATAAAGAGGATTTTAAGGTTTAAACTAATTGAAATGAAGAGTTCCACTAGTACATAAGATACAACTCTCATTATTGCAGAACATCAAAGCAGTACCTTTTCGCACATGAATTACAATGTACTCGTAAATACCTATTACACATGTACTTATATATATGGGTTTTCAAAAACTCCTTTTCAGTTCAACATGCACGAATTAAAATGGAAATCAAGAAGTGAAAGTAATGTGCAGATAAATAATTTTTTTTGGACACTCGAAAGATGCTACGCCGTTATCTGTAACATTAAACATTCAAATATCAAAAGATATTTTATGAAATAATTTTTTTCCCTGTCATAATGATTATACAAAAGCGTCTCTGAAGGTGTATTTCGCATTAAATTGATTTTTGCTTTTAGCATTTTAGATACGTTTTTTACGGCGCTCCAAACGAGCCTCTTGAGAATTCATGCCACAAATTATAAGCATTTTTTTGCCGCAAAATTTTTTTGAAAATTTTTGCTATCTTTGCAGGATTTTGTAAATAAACATTAATACTCGTAAACGTAAATATATTTGTGCCTGCAATATAATTTGAATGCTTTTATTATGCGATAAGTATAATAATATTTGCATTACATTGACAATGTATAAAGTAGGTATAGAGTGGGTACTATAGGTAGACTAACACGCTTGAAACCTTCTAAATTGTCGTATGAGATTTACTGCTTTTGGTGCACTTATTGCGATATGTAAATTGGGGAATAACGAAATAAGCTCGAGTCTAGACTTAGAAGCCGTGAACTCAATTATATTATGATTAAATAAAGAATGCTCTTCGTACCATTTTTATTAAAGTAAATAAATTTCTTTCATATCGTAAATTAAAAAGAGCGATTTTTTTTAAGAGAAAATCAAATGACTTCTATTTTTTAAGACGTAAAAAAATTACATTTTGTGTAGATTTTGTAAATTTTGTAGAGAAAAGTAATTAACTCACAATGACACAATGAAATAATGGCTGACGAAAAAACACTTGACATCTGATATCTTTAAGTTATCCATATACCGAAGATATATATATCTCAAACTTCATTGTATGGGTATTTGATTCTGTGAATTTTTGATTTACTACCAAATCTGGGTATTCAGAGAATTTAGCTTTATAAATATCTGTACCGCCATGGTTCAACTCTGGAAACTACTGACAATAAGTTGAATTGTAGAGAGCAATGCGCTATGTCACTTTTAAAGCCTTTCCTGAAATTGTATAGCATTCTTCTCTAATTCTCTAATTCAGGTACAGTAATACCCCGATTTGTGTCGCCCTGATTACCATTGATTCGAATTTCGTCGCCAAAAAAGTGTAAGTTTTGGTTTGAAATTGCATTCATAGTATCTCGATTTGCATCGTTTTTCAATACATGCGGGGGGTTCCCATTTTATTTTTTGTAGATCGCATTTTTTAAAGGCGGACTTACATGTATTAAGTTTTTAGTTAAAAGGTATCAATTTACATTTGTGTGTTAAAATGGAAAGGTAAATTTTTGTTTTATAAAATATAAAAGTGAGTCAAAACCGAAAACAAATTTCCTTTGGAAGAAAAGTTGGACATTTGAAAACGTTTTAAACTTGGAGAAAAACCTGCTGACTTTGGGAGAATTCTGGGTTCACCTCCAATTACTGTAAGAACAATTTCATATCATGATGTGAGTAAGATAGAGGACTACTGATTAGCTGCCATACATTTTCAGGCCAAACAAGTTACAAAAACTAGAACTCCATTTATTGTAAAAATTGAGTTCCTACTATACATTTGAATAGAAAATTGGAATCAAAAAAGAATGCCATTGATCCTTCAGTATAAAAATGAAATCTTCCAAACACTGCTTTCCAATTATTTTAATAACAGTACATTATCAAGTTAAAAATGTAATTTTTTTTCTCTTTTCATTTTTTTATAATAGAAATTTACTGCGAAATAACTATTTTCTAATTTACAATAATAATAACAATAATAATAAATACAATTTATAATCTAATAATTGCTATCAATTCCTCAACTTAGTTGTAATGGATTCTTCCTCTAAATCAAATTGTTTTATGAACACCAAAGAGTACTCATCGGGAAGATGAGCTCGATAGATTGGAGTCTCGATAGATTATAATTAGTACTTCAAAGTTTTGGAGTGTGAAGTACTAGAATTGCTAAAATATATATAGGCGAAATTTTTTAGGGTATCATTTAATTTTCTGTCTTACAGAAATATACATGACCCAAACGTTAGAATACTATATAATGTTCGAACATAGTATATGAGAGCAAACCGCCTAATGAATCATACTTCAAAATTAAAATGCTTGAAGATTGAATAAGATTTGAATGCTGATGCATTACATTTTATGTTCTAATATAACTCCACTAATGATGATATTCACTTCTTCGAACTTTGTTTAGCATTCAGTAAGCAAAACATTCTACAGAAGTTGCCAATTAGTTCGTTTTAAAAATTAGTCACAACAATAAATTTGTGACACAACTTCAGAATCGTAATAATTACAGTACGTACATTTAAAAGCAAGTAAGTCTTACCTACATATCAATATACTTAATATATATCACTTTTTTGAATAAAGTGGAAAGAATCAATTTAGAAGTTTCAATGCATGAAAAATCAATTAATTGGACTGTGGTAAATATTTTATATAAAAGTTATAGCAAGATATATTGGAAGTTTCAATTGCGTGATGTGTAAGGTTGGTCGGACAACTAAAATATGAAAGTGTGGATTGCTTTTATTTTTGTATTAGCATATATTCTTGCGGGATTGTTTGTACTTGGAGGTGATCAAAGCTGGGGTATCAGGTCTCCAACAGATAAACTATTGCTACATAAAAGACTTATATGGCCTGTCGCTCACAGGAATGGTCTCAACAAATACTATTCGTACTTTCAAGTACTGAAAAACAAAGTGTTTATTCTTTTAATTAATTATGTTTTTTTTTTTAGAATAACCGTCATGAGAGTAAAAAGTATCGTATAACACGAATAGAGTTAAAGGATCTCCAAATGTCACCATTCAGGAAGTTAAAACCTAAAATAGTATCTGGAGGAGTAAATAGGTCTCATGTTGTAATTAGAATTAGAAGTAAACGCAGCTCTGGAATAATGTACGATTTAAAAATATACGGCAGAAAAAGGCGTTGGACCGATTGGTTTGGTTGAGAAGTTATATTTTTAGAGGATTTAATTGTGGTTTCTAATTAATTACGAAAAAACTGACTAAATATTTATTAAATATTAGACGATTTTACACTTAATAAAGAATTATTAATATTTATTTTTTGCCTTTTCGACGAAAGTGTGCGTGAACTGAAAAGAAAAAAGAATCCCCCTCAATTAATAAATAAGCCACTTTTATAGCACATTCTTTGTAATTATGGGAAGAAGATTGAGTATGTTCATTTCCAATGGCAGGTGCATTGATAAATGCAGGTGTCGGGCCTATGCGAGTGAAAAATGGGTCGCCGCAAAGTTTGAACCTGAATTTAGTTCAGTCAGGACAAGAAACAACAGATTTTCTGGTGTTAACTCCTTAAACGCCTACAATCTACAAGAACAATCTACAAGACTATTGGCAGACTTGTTTGAAGTTTGTGTGTGAGTTTTTTTGTTTTTAAGAGTATCACAGCTTTAAAACAATGCTTTTAAATTTATTAAATTATGTTCATAAAATCGTTATTATAACTTCATAGAGCCACTTTTTTTAGGCATTATATCTTCTTTGGGTAGGAATAAATAACTTAGCAAAGTTAAGACAAAATTGATTCAAAATAGTGGAATTCTTCAAAAGGTACCGCAGACCGAAAAATGAAAACTCTTCGCCAATAACAAATAATTTTACTAACACGGTGAAATCAATCACACTTTTTTATTTAATAAGTGACAATAACCTATAACAAAAAACCTGGAACTTGAGTATTGAACGTTATTGCAGCCTTGGCTACTTGTGGATAAACACGATTAGTCATCGCTTCTAATTTGACAGACACGAGTTCTAAGCCTGGCATTGGCAGTCCTAACAAATTATATACGGACTATAAACTAATTAAATAAAATTCGATTATTTCCAAAGACCACTGATGAAGAGTACTTGGCAATACTCGAAACAGCGTTGTATGGTCAGCCAAATTTCAATAAATTAAATAAATTTTTGTTCTAGTCCTTTCTTTGCTATTGGAATCCGCCTAACTTTTAAATAGTTTCTTTTCGTCATAAAGACGCGTCACTCTCGGCAAGAGTGTTGTGCTCTATTGAAGAAACGGCATTGAATAAATGAAACTATCAATAAAAGTCATACTTTGTTATATTTAAAAATAAGTAAATAAGCTTAACTAGAATGTTTTGAGTTCAAAGTCGACTTCCACCACTAAAGTGCATAATATCACAAATCTTGTGACTAAACTTAAAATAAGTTTAAACAAACTATAAAATTATTTTGAAATTTTGGCAGCACAAATTATAAATTTTTGAATTCTTAACTTTAAAATGAAAACCTAAGCACTCTTAATATGAAGATTTGAAATTGATGCAAGAATATCTCATCCAATGAAAATTAAATTTCTTCAATTTCGGAATTCTTTTTAAGATAAGATGTACTAACCAGCACCAACGTTTTAGTTAAAATTATAAATGAATGTTTAATATGATTAATTTTTTTTTTAGAAACGAAATGGAATTTAGTATTGATTTAGTGTAAACATTTTTTGTATTTTTTCATCTTAGTTGATTGCAAAGTTATATTGAAATGCTTATTACCATGTAATGTCTATACAGCGCATTAACCCCTTCACCGCTCACAATGAACGATAAAAATGGTCAAGCACCATATTTTAGAATCCAAACCTAAAGCCACACATAGTATAGCTTAAGCTTCGTTTCCTGCTCAACCCTAACACCAACAAACCTTGGTACTAGTGTCAAACCTTAGGAGTTCTACCAAATGGCAAACACCTGCGAGTGACTCTAAGGTCAATTACCCTATTCCCTAATCCTTTAGAAATATTGTTGGTAAATAAACTTAGTCTAAATATACCCCTAACACATATATAGATAATATAAACATATATTAAAATATTAAAATACATTATATATTAATATATATTAAAAACTATTAAAAATAATTATTAAATTTACTAAAAATTATTAAAAATGTTAAAAAAATGATTAACAACATTATCATTATAAAATACTATTTTTTAAAAGTCTAATCAGTCCACACAAACGTCCGTACAATATGGATTTAAAATCTACAAACTTCCTTTCGGAAGCTAAAAAGTCTCAGTCCTCTGTCAGTTTCCACTGACGCGTTTCGTCTGGGAACTACCCAGACTCATCAGACTTATTATATTTTATATTATTATTATATTATTACATACTTATTATATAATTATATATATATTATTATATACATATACATTATATAATTTTATATATATTATTATGTACATATACATTATATAATTATATACATATATACATTATATATACATTGCGTGAAAATTATTTTGTTCAATATTAAGACTTTTAGGTATATGATTTTTGCTTTAATATATCGTTCATGAGTTATGTTCATATGTATAACCCATCTTCGGCACAATTGTTTTTATTTTTAAAAATGGAAAAAGTCTATATTTTGCAAAAAATTAAGGCAATATTACTTTACGAATTACTCTTTAAATTAATTTTAGTGATTTTTATATATTTATTAATAATAATATAAGATTAAAAATTCTAAATTTTAATAATATATGTATATATTCTTTTCTATTTGCAGGCTTTGACTTTGCAAAACAGTTGGTAAGTAAAGAATCTATTGTTAATCGTAATTAATATTTAGACACCAGTGTCTTTATTGTGGGAGCAAGAAGTTTATTCAAAAAAAGTCTACGTGTAAGCGTATTGAAGTTACCAAATAATGTCAACATTTTGCATAAAAGCTTACAGTAGGCAACATTGAAAAAACTTATATCAAACATTATGTGTCATATTTTTTCAGTCTTCTCTACCATTTTGTAGCGAAAGGTACAGTGTTCGGCTTTTTTTGCTTGCAGAGAGACATATTTTTCAAATAAGAATCGAATCTATTTAAGACCTCAAAGCCTTTTTCGTATATTTGGTAGGTAAAGTTGTTGGATTACTTATTCTGCAAACACCAATTTTAAATTTTTATAAATTAAAGTAATTAAAAAAGTTTCCTAATAGTGGAAAAAACTTTGTAGACGTTTTAATATAAAAAATTTATGCGTTTTGACAATAAATTTTTTAGAAACATGTATCTTATATATATTTATTTGTTTTACGAATGAAGTCTTATTAAAAAGTGAAGGTTATCTAATTTATAAAAAAATTTCTACATATTCTCATATTCTGAACACGTCTTCAAATCAATTGGGCTCCCATAAATGACAAAGAACATTTATATCAAAACACAGATATATATATAAAATTTGTTACTTAAAATTTTTGTTGAATTGAATATATATATAGCTGAGTATATAATAGAATATAATAATAGGTTATTAGTACATACTTTATCTAATAAACTTGTTTGTGAACAACAAACTTACAAAGTTATATATTAGAGCCTACCCATTTTGGTATTCATTGCTCCCACTAAATCGATGTGAATACTTGAGAAGTTATGTCACGTACAATTATTTTGTTATAAACATTTAAATAGAAAACTAAATAGAATACTATTAATATTGTATTATAATTAGAAATAATTAATTTTAACTAATATTTAATTAAATGGAATTATGTGGCTATTATGAAAGCAAGGGAGATTAAAAATGTGTCAACATGTCAAAAATTATATTTGCGAGTGCGTAAAGATAAAATAAAAATTATCATATTATATAGTTGACATATAAACTGAACAATCGTTATTAATCTTGCTTCGTTATATAAAAACAAATTTTTTTTAAATGAATTTGTAATTCATGTGAATAAAAGTTATTATATTTTTAATTTCATTCATACGTAGCTGTCATGCACTCGGACGAGTTGGAAATAATTTTTCCAGTAATGTATTTTTCAATTATTAAATTTTTTTAAAAAATTTAATTAAAGTGTGACAACTCATATTCCAAAATAGTTGTGTACTATAGACTAGTAACAAAGCACAAGTTATCGTAATTTTGATTATTCCATTCTCTTCGGTAAGAACCTATTCACACAGCAAATATTAATTTGATCTTAATTCACTTGTTAATTTCAGGTTTGTATTTGCACGCTTATTCGTAATTCCTATTACGAATTTAAAAGAGCCTTAAAATACAAATTTAATTCACAATCAAAGAATTTTGATTTATTTTTGGAACTTTAACTTTCAATTTTATTTTGTGTTTTGCATATATAAGCCCAACAAAATTTCCAGTTCGTCCAGAGTTGCCATCAAAAGTAGTGCTTATTTTATGTTGTTCTTTTGCGTTATGCTTTTAAAAGAAAAGGCCTAATAATATGTTATACATGTAGGTATTCTGCTTTGGTGTTAAGTAGTTTTTGCTGTTTGTTAGCCTTATTCAGGAGTGCAAAAACAGTATGGTCATTATATATACGTTAGCCTATTGTGAATGCCTAAGTTTTTACAAGTTATTCCAACGCACAAGTAAATTATAAGAGTTTTCTCGATCCACGTGTAGATGATTTATAAAAATATGCTGGTATAAATATGTAGGTGAATAGTAAATATTAATTCAACATGTAATATATAATATCAGTTAAAATCGCAGAATATTTGAATTATCGGTTTTAAAATCATTAATTTTACGAATCGTGTTTAGCTTTATAGTCCACCATATGACGAATACATTATTGATATGGTATAGTAGGGTATAGCCTTTATTAATTAATTACTGTCGAACCCAACGTTGGTTTAGAGCTATGCATACCTGAGTTGACCATACAACGAGGTGTAACGAAACACGAGTACCAATTTGAGGGTTTAAGACATAAATATTTTTGAACTATTTATTATAATTATTAAATTGTGTAATAAAATTATATATTGAATTTAAATCCACTAATATTGGTGTTATATATGTACATAAGTTTAAATATATATATATATATGTAGTTATATTCAAATTTCAACCGATCTCCATAATGCTTGTTAAAGAGTATGTCTAGTATAATGATGAGTATATTAAGCATAACGCCGCACATAAAACAGATCAATCCCTTTATTTAACAGAGAATGTGTTAAGCATGACG